CAAGTTAGAGCTTATATTGTATAGCAGAGCTGTACAAAGACCTAAAGATAAGATGAGGATTTACTTTGCATAAGCAAACAACCTCGAAGTCCTATGACTTTATTGTTCAATTCTAAAAAAAGATATGCTGTTGTAGTTTCTTTTGTTGTTGAAGATGGTCGTACTCCTCATAGTGCTAGCTCTAAGCTCCTTGTCGTGACGAGTTTAAGCTTTCCACTGTGTTAAGTTATGATGTTAAATCAGATGTCTCTATGGTTGTAGTTTTTTAAATGTTATGGGGCATGCTAAAGTTGATTAGAGCGACACCGATTAGGATTATACGGTTCAAAGCAAACAACCTCGAAGTCCTATGACTTTATTGTTCAATTCTAAAAAAAGATATGCTGTTGTAGTTTCTTTTGTTGTTGAAGATGGTCGTACTCCTCATAGTGCTAGCTCTAAGCTCCTTGTCGTGACGAGTTTAAGCTTTCCACTGTGTTAAGTTATGATGTTAAATCAGATGTCTCTATGGTTGTAGTTTTTTAAATGTTATGGGGCATGCTAAAGTTGATTAGAGCGACACCGATTAGGATTATACGGTTCACTTGTTCCGGTACCACTATTTTCTATTGGATTCACTTAGTCCAAATGAATTTACTAAACTCAACTTAATGAGTTCTATACTTTCATCTAGACCGTGGGAAGTCTCGTTAGCAATCGTAGGTTACCTCCTTCGAGGGATTCCCGATCATACGTCTTAATTTAGTTGCAATTGTTGTTTGTGATGTTTGTGATTAAATTTTGAGTTCTCTTATATTTTGAATGTTGTTGCGGTGAATTCTATCTTGGTGAATTTTAATTTGATTTTGGTTTCAGTTTTGTGGCTATCCTAGCAGTTTTGGTTTTTTGTGCAGGGTGACATCGTTGTTTAGCATGCAAGTTCGTAAGCATAAAAGTACAGTATAGAAAGTACGAGAAAAGAAAGCACTGTACACTTACACTGTAAAAGTGTACCTGGCGAGTCTTCTCGTTCCTCCACCTGAAAAATTAGTACTTACAAAGCATATATATGTATATATAATTTTGCGAGAATTAAAGTACTTATAAGGAAAGTAAAAAATACAAATTTATGATGTGTCTACTAGATCCTATGTCATAACTTAATGGGTTTAAATTTTGAGGATGATTTCATTAAGCAAATCATAATAAGTCCAGATGTCCTACAAGATTTCCAAAAGATTATGAAGAAGTTTCGGGTAATACCTTAGACATTTCATAGTCCTTAGAATTATCTTGAGTCCGTTTTGGTCTTATTATGTTTACTATATAGTTCATCCAGTGAATCATGATGTTTTGATTATCTCTTAAATGGGGTAATCATCACTTGATATCTCATTTATGAGTTATATAGGTAAAGACCTTATGGGGGCAACTTGATTTAATTAAGAAATTTAGTTAATTTGATTTTTAAAGAATGGGCTTGCAGTGTTTTTGAAAGTTTTAAATTAATCATGGTTGATTCTCTAAACCTCTTTAAACAAAATTTTGATTAAACCTAGTTGACTACTAAGCCCTTAAGATTTAATGGATAGGTTTATGATTAAAAAAAATGATTTTTAATATTTATATCCTCAATCATTATTATGAATTATAAATTATCTCAAAAACCATTAGTTGAAATTATCTCAAAAACCATTAGTTGTCTCAAAAACCATTAGTTGAGGGTTAAAATCAGTGAGTTATAATCTTAAAATTAAACCCCTCACCTTAATATCTTCCTAAATATCTTCTTATTTAATTATTCTTCCAAATTTCATTAATTTGAAAAATTATAAATTTATCCTTTATGAGATTCAAAGTGAAGTTTCTTTCTACTACTTATCCCTTTTATGTTTCAATTATCAATACATGCTATTTTAAGATCACTTGTTGCCCATTTAGCCCTTTTGATTAGCCTAAATATTAATTAAGCTCTAAATTCCAAAATTATACTTTTGCCCCTAAGACCTTAATACCCTATAATTCATTAAATTAGACTTAAATGACTTGAAAATTTTATGTTACCTCACTCATGGGTTAATTAAAACATCAGAGGAAAAAATGTGATTTTTTCAAGTTTATTTAATTTTCATAATTATTTTTAATGCAAAATAGGGATTTTCAATGAAAATTTAATAAACCAACCAAAGTAAAACATATGTCCTTAAGAAAATTATTGGAGGTTCACTTAGGTCAGAGGACCACTTGGAACGATTTTCATGATTTTTAGTGGTTTAATTTAATTATTAAAATTATTTGTTTGCTTTGAGTATTAATTAAATATAAAATAATATTTAGATGAAAAATTAAGTTTTATATTTTTATTAAATTCCTTTGAGTCTAAAAAACCCAAAGAAACAAATTTCATATTTTTGTAATTTATATTTTAATTATTAGAATTATTTTAGTGAAAATTAGGGAAAATCCATTTTTAAGCCTTTTAAAATTGATATCTTGATTTAGAAAATTGTGAAAGTTATTTTAATTGGTTCTAAGT